TATATATATATATATATATATATATATATATATATCTACAAACACCTACGTATTCAACACGAAATAGGAGTGCGAATGTAAAACAGCAAATTTGCATGCGAATAACGAAAGAACTGGACCATAACAACCAACAAAGAACACGATAAAGACAACTCATGACCACTGAAAATAATAAAATAATGAGTCAATAACTTTCACCAGATGCACTTTAACACCAATGAATCACATGTAGCCAAATGCCAAATACAAATCGAATCAAAAATCCAAACACGTGCAAACTTACGAGTTATAATTGTGATTATTTCTTAAATGTAATCAAGACGGACCCGAAAAACCATGTACGATTTTCGAATGACACGCAGGCACAACCACGTATAAGGTTCTTTATCATCGGAACAAGATAAGAAAAAACTTTCCATTCTGTTATCGTAACTTCAACCCTCGATTAATGCAAAGGCCACCGCTTTTAAAAAGGAAAACAAACTCTATAAAACCGGCTTGAGCATTAACCATTAAAGCATTTGCGTCGGATATATAAGGGATCCAATGCTGTTACTGCTGCTGATGCTGAAAAAAAGCTGCAGATAACGATAAAGAAGCGAAAAAAAGGCTAGAATAATGATGGAGACAGAAAATTTCTAGCAAAGATAATAACAAAATTTTCTCTAATGAATGCTTTTTATTTGAGCAAACAAAAAGAATGCAGTCTCTCCTCGTATCAGTCAACAAAAAATAAGTAAATAAATAAATAAATAAAATAGAATAAAACATAATAGAACACAGAAAATAAAAAATAAAAGTAAAAGAAGAATAAAACAAGAACAAGAAAAAAGCCACGGGGCAAAAAGAATTAATCGATTTCTTGCCGTGGACAATCACCACCACCGCCACCATATTCGGATTCTACAGCAAACAAAACAGCGGCGATAAATGCTCTGCCATCGCCGTTCGTTAGATATGACACGGGATCTACTTAATCCTACCCACTACTTCTCTATCCATTTTGAGGCACCGGATTCTTAGTGGCACTGCCCCGATTTAGACACCATCGACATCATCACGTTATCCTTACGTAATGTCCGTTTCGCAGCGCCCAATTCGTGTTCACCAAACTCTCGCTACCCTTTATGCCTGACAATTTGCGGCACTCACTCGAAGGAGTACCGCCGTTAGCAGTGTGGTGGCCTTTTTTCATCCCCCTAGCTCTCTCTCAATTGCCAATGCGCACTCCTTTAACCTATGTCCATCTACGAGTCGGAGAATGCAGATGACGATTGCTTTCGATGACTCTCATGAACATGTTCATCGAGTTGTTTACACATACACTTTCCATCAATGAAGTCCATCTTATTTGGTGACAGTCGCTATAAGAAAATTGGCAATTTGCCCGGCTAGCTGACCGCTCCTCATTATCTGTTCGTTGTATTGCATTTTTTTAACCAAACGATTTCATATACAAATTATTATTGTATAAAGATCATCGCATTCGCTGTTGTTAGTGTTTAACATATCTCCAGCAATACGGCGTCGTATGTGTAACAGTTTTGCTTATTGCAATTTTATTATTTCTTTTCTGTTTTTTTTTCTTTTTCTTCCACTTTATGCTTGAATGAACGATGAAACAACTGACAGTAAATTGCGAACTTCATTTGATCCCTTTTTTATCTCCGCAGCTTTCGATTTTTTGCTTTTTTTTTTTTTGTCCTCTAGATATCTTTCTAAGTTATTCTCGCTTTTTTTTGTTACCGATAACATTTAGTTTTCAAGTTGTGAGGTGCAATTTAAGTTCCAAATCTTGATAAATAAATTTAATGAACTGTGTCAAAGGAGAGGCCGAAACAAATTGGGAGCCTGAAAAATGGTCTAGGAAAGGTGTTAAAAAGGTAGCATTTTTACCCCTTAACAAGCTCACATCGCACAGGGCGCAGATGTGAACTGTTCGCTGGAGCTGTTTACTAGCTAATGTGAATAACAATTTTTCGCACAATTTTGCTGATATTTATTTGAGATTGGTAATTGGTAATATATAGTTATTTTTTGATATTTTTTTTCATTGCTAAAATTCTTATTTTTTGACATAGTAAGAACTTAATCTTTGATAAATATTTTTTTCGTGTTCTTGAAAGAAAAAAGATCGTTCAAGTATTGTGTTCTTTTCACCTATCGAAGTCGAGAACTTGTTGCAGATGATGTTTAGGGAATCACAGGAAAAAGTGGGCAGATTTAATGCTGTCAACATAATGAAGTATCAATCGATATGTATCTTGCATGGTTCCTGTGGGTTTAATCGTGACTGTTCCTTCACATGTTTATTTAACATTATAGAGCATACTGCATGAGTCACGATTAAAGAAACTTGGTCGATTAGTAGAATTTTTATTTTTTTATCGGAACTAATGTGCCGTATGTTTTAAAGCCATTTTTTCTCTCTACTTTTTTTAAAAATATTATTTTGTATTTTGGCTCAAAGAATAAAAAAAAAAATTAACATTTGTGTTATGCGGATGCTGTATTATTGTTTAAAGGTTGTTCAAAGAATTTTTGGCTTTTTCATTGTATTTTCAAAGCTTAGTGTTCTGTGAAAATAGTTTTTTTGTTGCATATATCCTGCTTCTTAAGTATCCGGTTGATGGGTTTTCAGAAGGTTACGGTTAAAAAAGTGAACGATTTTTAACATTACCAGGCGTAAATTTGTGACGTCTAGTCTTTGTTTTCATTTGCAGTCTGCTTCACTTACTTTCAATTTATTATTTTTGTCTTGTTAATCCTCTTGTTTATAAAAGATAATTGGGGATGTAATATGATTAGCAGAAAAAACTGAAGGATCTCAGTTTAAAGAAGCTTATAGTCGGCAGGTTTTCTTCTTATTATATATTTTATTCGTTTATATCAGTTGGATACGAACAGAAAAGTAATATACTCTTTTAACCTAAATATATTTTTTCTTTTTGGTTTTGTTTTCATTATGCTATGTTTTCGTAATTTTTCTTTAAATTCTAGCTTTTAACATCTTCCGGAATTCGCCCTACTTCATTATTATTTTTTTTTTTGATGCTTTGAAAAACAATAGTTGAAAAAAAAAAAAGAAGGACTCTAAAATTTTTTCTCAAAAAATACTAAAATTATTTTAATCATTGCTGCGGTCTGCCAGAGTTTTATAGCAGCAAAATAATTTCAGAAATTTGAAAAGTGATAGTCTGCAGCTAGTTGAAAAGTTGTTTTTAAAATACCTTCAGTATCCAGCACTGTAATTTTTTTTAAAATTTTTATTTATAGTTGCTGCTGCGTATCGCAAGTATTTTTGACGAGGAATGTGGAATAATTTTAGGTTCTTGTTACGCATAGTCTTTTGTTAAAGTAGTTAATAATTCTGAGCCTTGTATTCAGATTCTTACGTGTTTATTTTGTTTCATCGTGATGAATCTGTTCTATTATGAGGCTTAGGTATTTGTTCATATGTGCTGGATTGTATTTTTCGCTAAAAAGCAGTTTAAAATTTTGGGAGATTAAATATCTATATGAAGAGGTGGGAGGAGCAGGCATTTAGATTGGCATAAACAAAAGAATAGTAAGGCTTTGAGGTTGACTAGGGACTTGGAATAGTCATAAGGCAATAGTTAGTAGTGTTATTTCCCTACTCCAATACTTTAATATTTCCTACGACACGCATTTTTCGGCTTGTGAACGGACATGCTGAGAGCATATTACCAACTGACTTTTGCTAAAATGCATTCCAGGCATTTCACCAACGAGATGAATCAAAATAATAAAGTTTTATTGGTGTCACGTCGAGAAGACCACGAATATCTGCTCAAATTTCTTTTGGTCGGAGACTCCGATGTAGGGAAAAATGAAATTACTGATTCACTTCAAGCTATTCCTGCCTCTACTTCATCAGCGTCTTTTATGTGTAAGTCTTATAGAAAAAGTAGAAATAAATTTCAGCAGAAGTTTTTGGTAAGGTTCTGGCATTTCAAGTAGGGTAAGAACATTCTGTTTGAAATTAAAAGGTACAGCTTTTTTGAGTTTGATTTATCGATAGTCCGATTTCTCTCTAGAAAAAAAGATTATTTTTAGATTACTATATACCAAATAATTACATATGGTTTAAAATTTCTGTACAGTGCTAATTAGCTGTAATAATTTTTGCTGCCACTCTTTTAAGTTGTTTAGGAAACAGTTTGGTATTACCTGGAATTATAAGCAGTTTACATGTTCATAAAATCATAGCGAAAGAAATGCTAAAAATTTGAGGAAGAGGAAATTGGTTTTTTTGACTTTGTTTTTTGCAGCTCCGAGCGCATCAAAAACGACAACTATTCTTCTTGAGGGTCGACGAGTTCGCATACAACTTTGGTGCCATTTTTCGAAAATTTGCTTCAAAATTTTTTCAATATTTGTGGAGTTTTTATGCTGAATATGTACTGTATAAATTTTTTCAACTAGTTTTCAGGGATACATCTGGACAAGGTCGATTTGCAACAATATTCCGTTCATTTTCAAGAGGTGCGCAAGGAGTGTTGTTAGTTTATGACATAACGAATCGATGGTCTTTTGAAGGCATTAGGAGATGGTTAGCAGAAATTGATGAAGTGAGTTTTTTGTATTCCACTCTAGTATGAGCTTCAGGATTTTTAAAACCGACTTTTCTCTTTTTCTTTATATTTTTCGGCTTTGAAAAGCCTTATTGTTCAATGGAAAAAGCCATAATCAGGCCAGATTCTGCTTGCATATAATTAACTGTTTATATGGGTTTTCCAGATTTGAAGTAATTTTTTTGCGTAGTCGAATCGTTTAACAAATTTTTTAGCATGCGCCAGGGATACCCAAGATACTCATTGGGAATCGGTTACATCTTGAATTTAACAGAGCTGTTTCACGCTCGGAAGCGGAAACCTTTGCTCGGAAAAGAAAAATACAATATTTTGAGGTAGGTAGTTCATGAGTATATTAAAAATTGCTTATTTCTTAAAGTCACTTTGATAATTAATATAATTTATAAACTTTCATTTGTTCTTGGAAAAAACGTCACTTTGATTGTTCTTTAACTTCTTTCACTGTTCTTTTAACCAGCATTTTTCTAAGGAAGTGTTTAAATGCTGCTGGGCATTAGCTTCTTGCTGATTAAAACTTTTAATGATTCAAGAAGTTTTTTTCTATTTTTTCTGTTATTCCCGGATTTTCTAGAGAAGCTACTTTTACGTGGTTGAAGGTTAAATTTTAACGATTCATATTCCTATGTCGCCTCATTTCTTTAATCAAGCACTTTTTTCTGTAATTTGGTATCTTAGTTTGGAAAATTGAATATTAATCTTTGATAGATACTGTATTATGTTACTCATGATAATCGTTGTGGTTAGGGTTTTATTCATCTGCTTGTAACTTCTTCATGCTTTTTTAAAGGTTTCACCGTTAGCGTATTTTAATGTTTACGAAAGTTTGACTGAACTGGCACGGGTCGTTATATCGAGGAATGGTCTACGGCAGCTGTGGAAGTTTAGAGAAGGTAAAATTCTAGCTTTTCAAACTATTTTTAGAAGTGACTGAGTGCAGATCTATATTTTTAGTTCCATTATTACAAGACTTATGTTGCCGGGCCATTGTTCAAACAGTTGAAAATATTCATGCCATCGAACGATTGCCGATACCATCCTTTCTGAAAACGAAGGTTTTTTTTCTTTTTGAAATGATTACTTGTGTCGGAAATATCTTCTGTTTTTGTTTTGCATTTCAACTTATAACGCATTTTGATTTGCATTTGCAGCAGAGAAATCAATATATTTTAAGCAGTTTTTTGGGTGAAATTTTTACTGTGTCATAATATTTGCTTTTTTTAAATCTGCTTGGTTCCACAGTTAATGGCATTTATACTTATATCATCTACTACTCTAGTTTAGATTCGTTCTTTTGCGCAAGGTGCAGAAATATGTACTGCAACTCTTCTTCGCAGAGAACTAATTCAGAAGCCAAAGAATAAAATACTTTTGCGACTCTTGGAATCTGTAGTTAGGCCCTATCATTTTCGTCTCCGGCGCAACAATTGTTCGTTAATGTGAGTGTTGTAAGATTGTTACTGTTTATTGAGATTTTTTATTATTTTGTGACCTCTCTTTACCTTGATACTTATTAATGTGTACTGTGGAATCCAGAGTAGTTTTATATTTGAATAAGTAAAGGGTTCTATTTTAAAAGCTCATTTTTTGTTAGCGAAGTTTGAGGAAATGCTTCTATTAAGAGGATTCCGGACATGGTGTAATTTTTTTCTTAGTGGTAATTTAACTACACGTGCGGGGTTTTAACAGAATTTGCATGCAGAAGTCAAAAAATACTTCTTTCTTTTGATAACGGAATGTTGTGTAAATCTTTTGAAGGTTGACGTAGCGGAGTAGTAAAAAGTACCTACGCTAAATAGCAGATCATCACTTTGAAATAAATATTGTGTGTTGTTGACGAAAGATTGAAATTCTTCATGTGCTTAAAGTTACATTGAAAGGCTGCAGACAAATTATAAATGTGAATAGTGCCTACATAGACAGTTTAATCAAAAAAAACTTTCAAAATTATAAATGTCATATCAGCACTAACTTATATTATAAAGGAAGTTATCTGCTTATTTGCGTAAAATTTTTTTTGTAACGGCTTAAATTTATTTCTGAAATTAATCGAAATCAAAACCTTTTATCATTAAAAAATAATTTTTTTATCACCAAATTTGCAAGAAAAGAATCGTTTGACGTTTGGCAATATCTTTTTAGGAATTCGCATTTATAGCGATAGTTTAAAAGTCCACTAATTTTTTGGGCCAATTTCTGTGAGATTGAATTTGGTTTGGATGACTCAGCTTTTTTTTTTTTCATTTTCTTGGACACCGACGAAATATGGTATTCTTTCTGACATATGAGTCGTATTGATTTTGGAGAGTTTTTGCAAACGAACTTGAGGTGCTCTTTGATGAAAGTTTGCTAAACTTAATTGCTATCTTCCTCATTAATATATTGAAGTGCGGACTGGATGTTTACATTGTTAAAAAAATTACAAGCCCTTTGCAGTTTAAATAAGTTTGTAGACAGATCACTATTTATAAGTTATTTATAACGTCTGATTTGACATCGAGCAACTGCTTAATTTTTGTCCTTTTTACTTCGTACGTATTCGAAGGTAGTAATTTTCTATTTGGTTAGTGCGCTCAGAACTTTTTTTACACTAAGGTTTTAGAGTTCCATCGTTAAAACAGGTATTTTACAACTTCTGCTTGTATCTGTGTTTGATTGTTTTTTTTCCTTTGTTCTTTATGCCTCTAAATGCTTGATTACTGTCATGTTTTTCCCCTTCCCTTGTTACTTTTCTCTAAACTGAGGAGGCATGGGCAATTTTGACATTATATAAAGCTGGTTACAACTGTGTATACGAGTAATGTTGACAACTGACAGTTGGTGCTATCAGTTCATCAAATGTTTTTTTTTTTTTTACTTCAAAGCTTGTTCTATTACTGCTGTCAACTCGGTATTGCTTTGGAATGTTTAGAAATTGGAGGGTTTTTTTGTTAACTAATATTGTATTCAAGGTTTTATATTTGGAAGTTTGTTTTTTGTGTAAATTTTATAACGTATTAAAGTCGTTTGCGAGTTGCCCGTGTGTGAGTTTCATTCTAGATCGATTTTTTTTTTTTGCTTTATCAACAGAGTTACATTTATCAAGCAATGAATGCCCGTGATTATGTTGCAATGAGTAAGTGCAGAGACTGACTGACTAAACTGTTGATAAACATACTTTTCTGATTACAATCAAAACCTTGCACTATCGACTACTCAGCTGTTTTAAAATGGGCAAACTCCGAGAGGAAATAGATGTTTTGGCTGCAAAATGAAAAAGAAAAACAGGTTATAGCATGTGTCAGTCGCATTTCTTTCTTAGCTATATTACTGGTACTAATTTTTTGTTGAAATAATTACGGTAAAGTAGCAAATAAAGTTTAATGCATTGGTTGAGCCCGGTTTACCGGGTGTGATATATTAATTGAAGAACGCAAAAAGACTGTTGAGGTTCAAGCGAAAAATGATTAATTTTCATGCATTTGTTTTTGTGGTTTGTCAACTGAAACATTCAATTTGGGTAGTTATTCAGAACAAATCAGGATAAAGAAATATGATGATGAGTACAGCTTGGGTAGTGTGACTGATGATTGTAGTTGCAAGAACAGGCATTATTATAGTTTCAAAACAAAAAAAAAAAAAAATTGAACAAGGAAGAGAAATAATTGAACTGGCTGGCAATCATGCTCCTCGACACGCCAACCCAACAGGTCCTGTAGTCGTCGTCTTTGATAGTGCAGTAGAAACTGTTTTATACATCTATCCCCCTATATATCAATACCCAAACAATTTTTGCTGGTGCTCGTTCGTTTATGTTGTTTGTTAGTGTTGGGTTTTGTCCGCCGCCACACGCAGCACACTTGCGATCTGGTCGCGCGCGGTTCATAATTATTGAAAAACGGAGGAAGAAGGTTGGTGCGCGACTTGTCATCATTGTCAAGGAATACGCACTAAACAAGGAAGTCCGCAGAGGTTTGAAGGCAGCTGGCTGTTATCAACTGTTAATAAATTCTCATCTATTCATTGCTTAATTTATTCCTGGTACGGCAAGACAACCTGTAGTCTAACCAATCTTTGTTATGAGTAGAGTTTTGTTTTTTTCTCTCGTTTTAATCACAGTCACTGTATACAATCTGTTTGACTGGTTTATTTGCTTCTTATTTCTGCCAGCCAATATTTGGTGATTGTGTTCTTTATTACATGGATTACACACTATTTAATGTTTATATTGTTCAGTATCGAAATTGTTATTCCATGAATGGTCACTTTTAACTGTTGTTGTTGTTTTTGTTGTTGTTCTTTTTCTGGACTTAGTGTTGGCAGTCGAAAATCTGTATATTATGATACACGAATTAGGTGTCTTGATCTAAAAAAGTTTTTAAGAAATCCAATTGAAGAGTTACTTTTTTTCTTTCTTTTTTTTTTTTTTTTCACATTTTTCGCAACAGTTAAGTTTTACTCGTCGAATAACACAAATACGTCAAGCCAAAGGTGTTACATTCTGTTACGGCATGAACAGAAGAAAAAGACAAAAAAGAAAAAGAAAAGTAATTGAAAAGAAAACACATTTGAAGGAAGTTATGATGTTTTATAGGATTAAAAACTACGCACTATAGTGATGAGAAACAGTGAATTGGAGCAACTGGAGTAATGGCGAATGGTAGGAGTGACGGAATGGTCTTTTAGGATGGAAATCCTCTCCTTAGCATTAGCTTTACTGTATTTGTTTCATTCATCTTCAGCAAGTGTTCATAACGAAAGGTACATTTTACTTTCTTTGGTTCAGTGGAGTTTTTTTTTTTCAATGACATAAAATGAAACTGTTGTATGCATGAACAAAGTTTGATTTGCTTTAATCTGCAGAGGTAAAATTGTAATAATTTACATACGTTTATTGGTTACTTGACGCAGTTGAGTTTTTAAATTTGGTTGTAGCTTTTTGCAGGTTATTTTCTTTACTTTTTTTTTCCTCTTGCTTTGATTTAAGAGTTGGAAAATGATAAAAAAAAACAATCAGGTACGATTTGTTTGTCAGTATTGATTAAGGAATAGTGTTTCTAAGAGCCTTTTTAATGATAAAATAGTTTTTTATTCACCAAATTTGTA